CTCTCCTCGCCATTCTTTTTATCTTACGTTACTTGTGTGGTGGGGAGAAGAAGAGAATTGCGGATAGATGGGGAAAATTGGTCAGTCTTCAATAACCGAAGAATTATTTTCCATATTTTATTTATATTGTAGCCATTATCTCTATTTAGATTGTTAGAGTGTTTTTATATTTCTATGGCTTCTCTATACTTTTTTGGAAATGATGTAATGTTGGCTATTGTGATCATTTTGTCAAACAGTATTTGATATCCTGTTTCAATGTTATGTTCTGATAATAAAAGGATTAGTTTCGATGTTCTGATAACAAAAAATTGGATGAAGACGAGAATTACCTATCCAACATTTTGCGAACTATATTTATTATAAGACATCGACCAAATTGTTCACAACTTATTGAAGATGGTTTGAAGCAAACCGAAAGCAAATTTTGTATCGACATGGTAGTACAATACATTATGTGAATTAGTTGAAATTCTTGTTATAATTGCGCACTAATTTCCGTGCTATATTGACGCTCTTATTATCCATATATTTTTGTTTTGTATTTTTATTTTGAGAGCCCTATATATATTTTTTTAAATGCTTTTATATTACCTAATTATGATAGATTTCCTTTCGATAAGAAAACTGCATCGCATTGGCTAGATAGATTATGCAATTTTATCGATGCAGTTTTTCGAAAATGTTTATAATATTTTATCATTATCGAGCTTTTTAAGCAGGATAGTTATAGCAGAATACTTTCTTTTAGCAAGTATTTGGGAGTACATTTTTCTTTTAAACACATTTTTAAGTTTTTTATTATTTATTATTTATTATTATCAGTTAATTATTTGAATACTGTATTACATATATACTTTAATGTACACTTTATTTTTTATTACACAGCCAAATTTGTATAATGGCCGCAACATAGACTTTTGCATAATGCATAGTGCATAAGGGAATCAATCAATCGAAATTCTTCTTTTCTATGGAATGGGAGGAAAAGAAAGATTCTGATTAGTTGATTCGCTTATGCACTATGCGTTATGTAAAAGTTTGTGCTGCGGCCTTAAAGTAAATATAATGTTGCTATTATTACAAATTTAAAGCATTGAATAATTATTTAGAGACTAAATAACTCCCTCCTTTCCTATTAAAAATTAAAAAAAAAAAGTATAATCATTCGACGCGTTTTCATTCAAAATGAAAGAATCTGGTAGAAAAACACGACGGTTAGCCTCGTAAATCGAGTTATTAAACATTAAAATTAGAAACTTTAGAAGAATAAGATATCTGTCATTCCGACTCGATACAGTGCTATGTATACGTTCTGTTTTAATAACACAAATTCATTGCTTTATGTACACAAACTCACACACTATTTTAAAAACACATTCTGTTAATGTAATACATGTTTATTACACAGTTTATTTTTATTTAAAATATAGGGATTTAAGTTCTATAAACATTCGAAAACAAATTTAACCTCAACAAACTACTCGCCAACGATTGCGTTCAGCAGAAGGTGCGTTTACTTTTTGCGTTTATGCTATTTTTAATCGTTAATTTCCGTTTCTCACGTTGTAAATACTTATGTGATATGAAATAATATCATTCACTTTGTAAGCGGTTATAAGTATAATAATAATGAATAAATAAGAATTTAAAAACGCGGAAATAAGAATTTATTCTATTATTTGTATAAGTGTCAATTCTTCTGTCAATGGACGATAACAAAAAGGATTATGATCTTCATATTAAAAATACCAAAATGTGTATGTAGGGTAACTCGAATATATACGCCGCACCTCTCAAAAACTTAATTCATAAGTATTATTTACATAAGTATTATGTTTAAAATAAATAAATCAGTAGAAACTTTGTATTGTCTACTGCTATGAAAAAAATATTAAAAATCCGAAATATTTATTTTTATATTAAAAAATAAACTTTTTGAAACTTTTGCATTTTTGCCGTACATCCCATAAGGGTGGGATATACGACTACTCATAGGCAGAAGGGAGTATGTATAACTCATGAAAAATTTACAAACAATGCATATAAATAAGACGTAAAATGACACAATAACTTATAAAATGTGTTTATAAAGTTTTATTAAGGAATAAGAATGATAAATACGTAAATGAAGCAATAAATAATAATTATATAAATATTAATTATAAATAATAATTAAATTGAAATCATCACAGTACTAATAACATAAAGGTATGTAATAGAAGGGTGCGTTCCTTTTTACGCTCACGCGCTTTAAGCACTTATAAGCATTGCTTATATCATTCATTTTTTTCATTGTAAGCTCTCACAGAAAGGCAGAGAAACATTTATGACGTCATCTTGACGTCATAGATACTGCTCATAAACGCTTCATCCATCGAGGTAGGGCAGCAAAAGCGTGAATGCTTATAGTCAAAGGTAAATGCAATAAACGCGTGGTCTAACCTAAAAATAAAAAATGGCTAGTAAACGTGATATTGGTTTAGTTTCCAGTGATATAACGATACCCGTAAATTTATAAGATGCAGAGACTCAACAAATATACTCAATATTTATAAACTGCTGAACAAGCAGAAGGCAAAAACCGGTAAATTTATTATATAAAGCACATTGATATATTTTGATGTTTGTTATTATTATTATTTATATACGAGCTAATTGTAAAGCTGACTTAGTTCCTTTCTATTTATTTCTTTGAATTTTTCTTTATTTTCAGATCGAGTTTATGCTAACGAGATACTTAAAACGATTAAATATGGTAAGTTTAATAGAATTGTGAGAGTTATTTTTCTATATATTTTATAATTAGCAAAAATAGTTAACATCCTGAACATCCGTCAACATTATCTTTATTGTCTACATTGCGCAAAATACATTAAAAAATGTTTAAGGAATTTAAGGAATTTATGTTGTAATGAATTTATTTTTATATTATTTTAATGTAGGAGGAAAGTTCAATACGAGTATAATAGTAATTGAGTCAATAGAAAGTGACGAAAAAACAACAAATGAAGAAGGAGGAAGTTAATAATTCTATTTGTAATTTACTTAATGCCTAAATCTGATTTTAAATAAATTTATTTTTGACAGCATATAAATGGCTATAAGAGGCTATTCTCTTACTGATAGAAGAATTACTACAAGAACAATTACGACAGAACGACTTTACAAGTGGAAAGATGTCTCAAAAGAAAATATGATTATTAATTGCAGAAGAGATGGTTTCCTTGTTACTGGACTACAATGTTTATCAAAATTTTCTGGATTAAAGAGAACATACAAAATCATCAAGGATCATAATAAAAAAATCTGGGAGTGGAACATGGCATTATCTTTCTGTAAATTGTTATTTTAAAATTAAAATTAAATATTGTATATATACATCGAATATAAACTTTAAATGCCTTTTTTTAGCTTATGGATGACTTACTTGGCACAAAACCATTTATGTCGCCTTGTAAATACTGTATCCATAACCAGTAAAAGGTCGCAAGCGGAATCTGAGCAGTCGGACTGTAGTCAGACATCCTCCAATGAAGACAAAGAGAACTCAATGCCTAGTAAGTTAATAATTTTATATAAATAAGATTGTCCAATCATAGAGTTACTTCACTATTCACTAGAGTTACTTTTATTATTTGCAATTGATTTTTTACAATAGCTTTTACTAATTAATTCAACTAAGATGTGTAAATAAAATAGTCTAATTCTCGCTAACTTTAATAATATTTTTTAAATGTAAAATATTTCTAACATTTTATAATTTTAATAAATTGTTAAGAATTATGTATCCTAAGATTGCAATATTGGAACATTAACTTATAAAAATGTATTAATTAATATATTATATGCAATAATGTATTTATTTGTGATATTTAAAGAGAAAAGGACAAATATCTTCTACAATACAAATGATAGAAGATTTAAAAAATGATAGAAAAACTGCAGAAACAGCGCTGAAAAGAAGACAATAATGAAAATGAAAAGCAACGCGGCATATTTATTCAAAGCTTTAAAGAAATGATAGATATTTTGAAAGAAAAAAATAACTTTTACTATAATCATCCTATATTGTATATATTTAATTAATATATTTTATATTTAACTATATTCTTTAACAATATAACCATAAAACACTTATTTTTTAATAATTATTAAAACACTTATAATAATTATTATACGTGCAATTATTATACTTATAACAAGCTTTATTTATACCAAATATATATTTTAATTTTAGTTATGTTATATTAATGTAAGTGTAAATATTGCAAAAATAAATTCTTATTTTCTTATTATTAAATTCTCACAAATTATATTCCGTTTTCTCTGTTCTTCTTTATTTCTTCTTTTAGTTATTCCTATGAGTTCTCTTTGTCTTCATTGGAGGATGTCTGACTACAGTCCGACTGCTCAGATTCCGCTTGCGACTTTTTACCGGTTATGGATACAATATTTACAAGGCGACATAAATGGTTTTGTGCCAAGTAAATCATCCATAAGCTAAAAAAAGGCATTTAAAGTTTATATTCGAAAAAATATTGTATTTCATTAAAATATTGTATATAATTTTAATTTTAAAATAACATTATATCTATTAGTATTTCAATATCATTATTTCTTAATTCTTCAATTAAAATATTATCTTCAATTAAAATATTATCATTCTGCAGTAGATATATGTTGTGCAGAATACAAGCAATAATAAATTTTGGGATTAAATCAGTACGTTCCATGTCCAAAACTGTAAACTTCGAAATATTCCTTTGAGGAGAGCAAATGCTTGCTCGATTTTAATTCGAGCGGATGAATGACAAAAATTATAATTTTTTTGTCTATCTGTAAGGTGTCTGTTGTCACGAAACGGTGTCATTAGATGCTCGTAAAGAATGTATGCGACATCAACCACTAAATGACTATTATTCTAATACGCGTATTAGAAAATGAATAATAATGTAGCATGACAATGTTAAAATTTATTTAATTAAAAATTGCTGTTTTCAATGCTGGGAACAACAATTTTTAAATAATAAATTTAACACTGCTATGCTGTTTTTTTTTGTTATATAAAGAAATAGACACCTTTTTGGAAAATAT